CCACATAAAAGCCAGCCATTCTATACATGTTTTTAACCCTAGCATTAGGTGTATAGTGGAAAACAAGAGGACCTCTGTGGTTCACTGGCCAGCCAGTCCAGCCAATCAGTGAGCTTCAAATTCATTGGAAGACACAAACCTACATGCACACAGAGAAATAACACCACACACACACACACACACACACACACACACACACACCTATTTGTTTCTAAAACAGTTTGGATGTTAGTTCTGAATCCACTTTTCTCTATTTGTCTCCAGTAATGTGCCTAGTTTTGCCTGATGGTGGTAAATGCATATCTCTAAGTGCTATGATTAAACAGCAGACCGCAAAACAAACCCTGCTTATGTTCCTGCCTGTGAGGGGGAAAATACATTTGTTTCACGGTGACTCATATGAAAAAGAAAAAAGATCATTTTTATTGCATCCCTTGCAACCTCCATCCCTATCTTGAAGCTGCTCTGCTATTTTTTAGACACGTGAGTCATTGGTTCGTATTATTGTTATTTCATGATTGTTTGCCTTATTAGATAACTACTTATTATTGAAATGCATCATGATCAAAGAGCTGATATTTGAAAGAATAAGTTACTCTGTGATTTTTAAACATGGAAGCTGACTTGAGGTTAGAAGCAGTGAAGTAAGGCCACTTTCTCTCCCTGCGTGATAAACACACACACACACACTTTTCCATACTCAAAGGGCAGTTGTTCTTATGCCAGTGTTTTTGTTTTTTTTTTTTCTACACAGAATGAAACAGAAATATCAAATGAAGTCCATTTCTTGTTAGTTAGGAGTTAGAAGCTCTTACGAGTAGGGACTTTCTGTGTGTGTATCTGAAGACAAGATATTAAGAGGTGGATTGTTTTGATATGGAAATTATTCTTTGTCACATGGTTGTAATATTTCTGCTGTACCTTGTTAACATCTTGTTTTGTTTTGTTTCTCTTAAGCAAGGTTAATCTCTCAAAGACTTATAGGGGAAAAAGGGACCTTGCTGTTCAGTAATGAAATCCAGGTCTCATGTTTGAAATGTTTAAGAAACTAAATTTTTTTGTTCAAGGAATTATCTATATGTCAAATGCAATCCCTATTGAGTCAACCTCTAACAAAAATCTAAGAATCAACGATTCCATGATGTTAGTAGCCAGTGGCAAAGATAATTTCACACCTTGCTGTAAAGAGAATCATTTTATCTCTATGGGTATGATGTATACATATATGTATATGAGTACTATATAGAATAATTTTATCTGTGTGTGTATAAGATGTGTGTACATGAATGCTGGCATGTTCGTGCTATCCACGGTGTGGACGTGAAGGTCAAAGGACAATCTCAAGTACTGGTTCTCACTTTCTACTTTGTTGGGGACAAGGTCCATTATCCTATGCCAGAATAGGTTTACGGGTGGGGCTCCTTCTGTCTCTACCATCCACCTCACCTTGGGATTACTGGGATTAGAGATATGTGTTACTGCTACATTTAATTTGGGGAAATCCAACCTCAGGTCCTCACATACTGGAACTATCTCCCCAGCCCCTGGCTTTGTACTTTTAATCATAAAAATCTTCTGATTTCATGGTCTCAGATACCATGACACACAAGAGATGGTTCCAATTTTCATGTGTAAACATCAAAACACACACAAATATTTTCCCTGGATATTTATTAAGATTGCTATTAGAACTGAAAAAGAGCTTTATAATACTTTGGCAGTGCTACAGCCTTCTACCTATTCCTGATGGTGTTTCCTTCCCCACAGTGTACACAGTGACACTTTATACACAACGATTTAATCATTGTATGCAGAGTAAGACAGCACGTGCTGCTGTCCATGACGGGAGGGGCATGCTGTGAGGGCATCTCATCGTTTTTAGCATTTGTTTTGTCTGGTGCCAAATTAGCTAATTTCTATGTTAAAGGAAACAATGCATGCTTTTAGAGTCTTTTTCCCCTCCTCCTGTCACTTCCCAATTGAACTTTATGATGACGACGATGTCCATCTCCTGTTTGCTGTCCTGCCCTGGCCTGTAGGTAGATCACAATTCCGGAGACAGAAATAGGCTTCCATTTGGTGTTTGTGTCTCTGGCAGCTGTATCATCATCATCTTGTATGAAATCCAGGACCTCGGGGGCGGAGTCTTCGCATCGCAGATGGTGTTCAGTGCGGAAGCTTAGGGCACTGCTGCTCAGAATGTGATGGAGCCGTTTGTTTCCAAGCAGTCTGAGCCTGGACTGAGAATCTCTGTGCTGCTCATAGCTCTTTGGCTGTTGAACCAGTACTGCCAGTGGCTGCAGGGTTGGCAAGCTGCCCACCCTGGCTCCTTCCTCATGGCAGTCTACATTCACAGTCACAATCAAAGGCAGAATCTGCTACGGCTGATCATTACCAGAAAGACTATAGATGCTCTCTACTTCCTCCAAACGTCAGCTTGAAGTTGTCTCTCTGGCACAGATGCCATTGTCTAGAGGTGCAGGTCCTGCAGCATTGATAAAGGAGCTTCAGGAACTTCCCAAGGGAACTGAGCACTGCCCTTGGTCACACAGACTCTGATGCAAAAGGACAGTTTTCACCAAGCACTCACTGCTATTTTGTAGCACTGTACTGACACAAAGTTTTGCTTTGCTCTGTTTCTGCAGTGGAGTTGGTGGGCGTGGTCACAAAAGCACTGGAAATGCTCTGGTGTTGTGTCTGTCTAGTCAGGTTAGAGACGAGTCCATATGGCCAGCAAGGACTCAGTCCCTGACCACTCTGGGACCACCCTACCACCTTCTTAAAGTTGTGGGGAGTTTCTGGGCTTCTTCATGGCAGAAGATTCTGAAAGGCCTGTACTCCTTCAGCAAAGGGGTTCCTGTCATGTGGCCCTTGAGAGCAATCTTAGCAATACCCTCTGGGCATCCCACCAGAGAGAGACATGTACACAGCAGAGTGCTCCTGCCCAGATGGGAGCCACACCCCCATCCACTTCCCACATCTGAGCAAGGCTCACCTCCTTCTTGTCTGGCTTCTGTTCTTTACTGGAACAGTAGGTCAAGACTTCTGCTTCTGAAGACAAGCTAGGAGCACCTCTCCCCCTCTCCCTCCCCCTCCCCGTCCCCTTCCCTCAACTCCATCCTGGACACTGCGATCCTGGTGCCATGTGTCTTCTTCCACACCCATGACAACAATTAACGTAGCCACAAGAGACCAATGATAGCCATGGCAGACCTCACCCTTCACTAAGTTCCAGGCTAACTCTTTGCTGTATGTCCCATCACCACGTCTGTGGTGCCAAGACACCATGACAGAATGCTTGGACCTACCCAGCCCCACCACACCAAAATATGAGGCCAAGGGTCAGGTGTCAGGTCCCAGCACAAACTTTCGTTTGCCAAAGTCGTTCCTCTTCTGTTCCCACAGTCCCTGCGGCACACGCTCCTCTGTCCACCGGCAGTAAACAGGATTTCACACAATTAAGGGTGGCTAGCGGTAAACAGCTGTTGGTCCAGCTACTTGGAAAGCTGCAACAGGAGGATGACTTGAACCCAGGGTGGAGAGTCCAGATTGGGGAACCAAGGAAGACCCCATCTCTTAAAAACAAACAGAACAAAAATAGCATGCGGGGAAAGCTCAGGATTGGTGGCTCCCAGTGCTTTCTGGGAAAGTCGGTGCTTTCTGAGAAAGCCTGGGATTGGTGGGTCCCGTGCTTTCTGGGAAAGCCTGGGATTGGTGGGTCCTGGTGCTTTCTGGGAAAGCCTGGGATTGGTGGGTCCTGGTGCTTTCTGGGAAAGCCTGGGATTGGTGGGTCCTGGTGCTTTCTGGGAAAGCCTGGGATTAGTGTGGCTCAGCCAGTGATTACCTTCTCCTGCTCTTGAGAAACTCCGCTGCAAGTCCTTTTCTATGCCTTATCACCCTCCTTTGGACAAATTGCCCCCACAGTGTTGACAAATGATTCCTTGGTGTTTGCAAGTGAATGCTTTGCTGGCAGAAAGTTCCTGGGTGATCTGACCCAGGTGGGTCAAATCGAGGTGTCTCTGTATTGACATCATCATCTGTAGTTCCAGAGATGGTTGGGGGCTTTGGGCTGACAAGTGTTTGCAATGCAAAGGGCTTGTGTGTATTTATTTGTTCAAGCTGCAGACATTTTAGATCGATTGTATAAGCAGAATTATTTTCTGTTCTGCCAACATTTCTCTTGTGGAGCTTGGATTGTCAGATTGTCATGGTCAGTACATAGGGGGAGGGTTGTCACAAAGAACACTGAAGACTGCAGATTACCCCCCCCCTGTTTTTTGTTTTGTTTTGTTGTTGTTGTTGTTGTTTTGGTTTGGTTTTGTTTTTTTTTTTTTTTTTTGGTTTTGGGTTTTTGGTTTTTGGTTTTCGAGAAAGGGTTTCTCTGTATAGCCCTGGCTGTCCTGGATCTCATTCTATAGACCAGACTGGCCTTGACTTCATAGAGATCCGCCTGCTTCTGCCCTGCTTCTGCCCTGCTTCTGTAGGCATTAAAGGTGTCCATCATCGTGCCCAGCCTACATTTTCTGTTTTAAAATTTAAATTCATCTTTTGTGTGGGAGTATGTCTGTGTGAGCATTGGTATGCACATTACATCTCACAAGTTGGGGTTAGAGAATGGCTTGGGCTTTTGCCCCTCACTGTCTGCCTTATTTGAGATGAGGGCCTCTTTATTTGTTCAGGATGGAATACGCCAGGGTAGCTGACTACTAGGCTTCTGAGAAGACCGCTGCCTCGGGCTCCCTTCTCTCCATTGGATCTCTGGGATTACAGACATGAGGTTTTCTATGGATTCTGGTGATCTGAGCTCAAGTTCTGGAAGTTGCTGGACAAGCACCCTACACTGAGCCACATTCCCCAGCCCAGCTGAGTTGTAATAGAAATCTGTCTCGCTCATCTACGTAAACTTTTGCTTCTTGGGAGGTCGGAACTATGACCGTGGATCCTAACATTGCAATCCTTTCTTATCTCTCTCTCTCTCTTTCTCTGCAACCTGCTGGCAGCTGTCCATACCTCGCTGTGAACATCACCCCCGCCATCCCCGTGGTCGGCGGAATCTTGTTCTTCTTTGTGATGGGGACCCTGCTTCGGACCAGCTTCAGTGACCCGGGTGTCCTCCCTCGAGCCACTCCTGATGAAGCCGCAGATCTGGAAAGGCAAATAGGTAACGCTGAAGCTCTGCTTTAGCCTGTGGTCACTCCCCACCAGTGCTGGCCCCAAAGTGGGGGGACAGGCTGGGGGGTTCGTGCAGAGGGCAGGGTGCTGGCTGGCATGAAAAGTGACCGGGAAGGAAGGAAGGAGACCGGTAAGAGATGACCCGAGTAGAAGGTTGGGATGTGAAGTGGTCGAGATAAGACTGGGGATGCTGCAGAGCTGAGGCAGGGGCAGTGGCAGCAAGCAAGAAGGCCCCCCAGTGAGCAAGGGTTCCCGATGTTTCTCGAAAACTCAAGCATCCAATCCTGCGCTGGTCCAGAACCTCAGAGGTTGAGGCTGTTTCTCTCCTATGCTCCCCCCCCCACCCCCCACCCCATGGCAGCTTCCCTAATTCCCATGACAAAAGACAAGTATATTGGTACTTTTCACGGTGTTGCAACAAAATATCTGGCAAAGGGATTTAAAAGAGGAGCTTGTATTGGCTCGCTGATTGAGGGTACATCCCTCATGGTAGGGAAAGTATGGCGGCAGGAGCCAGAGGCAGCTGGTTATATTGTATCTGCTATCAGGAAATGAATACCGGTGTCCAACTCACATCCCCCTATCCACTCAGTGCTAATCCCCAGCCCACACAACAGCACCATGCAGTGATAACGTGGGTTTCCACCACAATTAGTCTACCCTAGAAGCTTCCTTATAGAGCAGTGGTTCTTGACCCTTTGGGATTAAATGACCCTTTCACAGGGGTCGCCTAAGACCATTGGGAAGCACAGATATTTATATTATGATTCATAACAGCAGTAAAATTTCAGTTCTGAAGTAGCAATGAAAATAATCTCATGCTTGGGGGTCACCATGACACGAGGAAACTGTATTAAAAGGCGGCAGCGTTAGGAAGGTTGAGAACCACTGTCATAGACAGGCTGGTCTAGATCCTGGTCAGGTTGATGATCAATATTAAAACACCATACAAGGCAAAGTTACATCTTAGACTGTCTGGCTTATTCGGACTAGGCCCCAGGATTTCTTCCGTTTACACACCACTGCAGTATGTACCGGCGGCGTGTGCTAAAATGAATAGCTTTATTTTAAGTAAAGCCTGAAGCTAAAGTTTACAGCAGTCTAGTTTGAAAGACTTAAACAGACCCTAAGGTCTGTCACAACAAACTTTAAAAGTTTGAACCTTGTCTTGATATGTTAAGTGCTGTCAACGGTGTGCCTTGTGGATGGGTAGCTTTGCTGTGCCCCGCCAGTAAGTCTGATAGAAGAGGCAGCTGGGACTCAAAGTGAACGTACAGAAGAGGCCCGAGAAAGCCACCCAGCGGGAATTTCTCTCCTGGTTCCCTTTGCAGCCTCTGCCCAAGCCGCAGAGATACCCCTTTGCTATGGCTGCCCAGGTGCAGGTGTAGCCAGGGCTAGAAATGCTCTTACGTGCCCCACGGACAAAGCAGAGCTGTGTCCTTGTCTCAGCCTCTGCCCCTCCCTTCGCCCCCGCGATGTGAAGGAGGGCATCGGTGGAGACTGGGATGCCACCCGCTGTCCTGCTTCTTTCTGAGTCTGAGAAGAAAGGGGTAGCAGTGGGGAGAGCATCCCCTCTCTGGCCGCTGAGTCTTGGGACAGACACACTGAAAACCATCTGTGCTCTAGCACTTCGGTCATGTGTAAGCATGGTAGTGGCTATCATGGGACTTTCCTCGCAGCTAAGTGACTGTGAAGATAAAGCTATTCTTGCTCTCTTTTAGAAATGAGGGGAGTGTGTCCCCCGCAAAGAGGGGCTTCAGTAAGAGGTAGTAGGGAGCTGGACCCAGGCCTCTGAGTTCCTGCCCTCGTCCCCTCTCATTCCTTGTTTCCCTAAGGAGGGGAGAAGCTAGGGCCAAGTCTCTTCAGGAGAAGGCTGCCTTTGGAGTCTGGGCCGCCGCCGCAGTCAGCATGCCTCTGGAAAATCCTCTGCCTCATGCGAACTCTGAAAAGTTGACACGGTGTGTGCTGTGACCCTCCCGGCCACTGCAGGAGCCTCTGCCAGAGCACTGGCTTGAGAGCTAGGTGTCATGCCTTGCTTGCGTGTTTGTGCAGCAACAGGGGAATTTGTAAAGTTTAGAGAGGAAACCAATAAAATAGAAGAAAGGGAAACCCCGGCGGGGGGGGGGGGGCAATGAGGCTAGAAGTTAGTCCTTTGAAAAGATCAAAATTGGCACGTCTTTGCGATTTACTGATGAGAGAGACAGACCAAGAGGAGCCGTTGAGATCAGTAGTTAGTAGGCCTATGAAGAGCTGGTGAGTGCCCGAAAGGGCTCAGCACCATGGGTCATTAGAGACATGTGAATCAAAACCACACTTAGTGAACATAACCCCCACCCCAGGGTGACCCTGAGGAAATGACCAATCCAGGCAAACATTAGCAAGGTGGTGGTGGTGGTGCCTGTTTTGAAAAACAGTGCCTCAAAAATCTTGAAAAAGCCTAACAGGGTTACCACATGATCCAGCCATCCCACTCTGAAGCATATAGCCACGAAAAACAGGAGTATCCATGTCCTCATAAAGATTTGCTGTACCTGGGAACCAACACCCGAGCAGAACTCACAGGCCCACCAAAGGGTGAATTGATGATTGTCAGGTTGTTCATCTGCACAGCAGAATCCCGTTACCAACTTTAAAAGGCCATGTATGTTACATGGATGAACCAAGAACATGACAGCAAGTGAAACATGACACAAGATGACATATTGTGGGACTCTGTGTACTTTGTAACGGCTCGAAGACAAATCTATAGAAACAGAAAGCAGAACGGTGAACCCCTGGGCCACAGGTGAGATGGCGGGTTAATTATAGCTGACATGAGGTGGAAGGCTGATGTGACAAAACTTGGGGTGACTTGGATGATGGTAATGAGTGCACAGTGCAGTAAGTTCACTAGGAATTATTGGGTTGTGCACGTCAGTGGGTCACCATTGTAGTAAGTGAACTGCAGTTCAGTAATGTAAGTTTTTAAGCGGGGGGAGTAAGGGAACGAGAGAATACAGAGCTGGTAGAAGAAACCACGGGGATGTGGGTTTGCACTCTGGCTTACTCATTCTCTAGCTGCACAACTTTAGATGAGCCCCCCCCCCCGTGTTTTGTCTATGCATTGGGAGGCAATAATAGCTTTGTAATCATGAGATCCTTGCCTGGACCCTGGCACTCAGTAAACGATGTTACATTTACCTGTTTTATTTTGTTTTGATTTTTAAGTTCGCCTCTTTTTCCCGCACGGTTGTATCTTTACCTTCTGCAAACACGAGAGTTCTCATCAAAGGCTATCCAAAGTGTGACGAAAATGGAAGACAGGGCTGGGCACCCGTATCTTCCCCAAGCCTGAGGGGGGGGGGGTTCGGGCACACAGTTTTATCCTTCATAACTCATTCTTGCTTGGTTTTGATGAAATCTTAATATTTGTTTTGTGCTATCAGGCTGGAGAGAGAAAATGAAAATTTAGGTTTAAAAGCATTTTTATTATCAAGGTTGTTAATTCTAATTATTTGTTTATGGCGTGTTTGTGGAAAAGCCTGCTAACAGCCCCATGAGTTGATTGAGGCTTTGCCAAGGATTTGAACGGCCATACCCCACCCCCACCCCCCTGGCTTCTGCAGAGATGTGAGTGCTGGGTCTTCAGAGCCTGTTCTTCAGAGGCTCTTAAAAATGCCACAAGGTTCCTTCTTCTTGCAAATGTTCCCAATAACTTAGGTTGCAAAACAAAAGACATGAAGAAGCATCAGTGGTCATGCAGAGGTCACTTCTGACTTTCCTCGGAAACCCCAGAGCTTCAGTTCATCTGAGAACCATCAGATACCGAGAGACTGGTTTGGGATTAGAAAACAAACAGCTGACACACTATCCTACAAACCTCAGGGCTAAAGTGATTCATTTCAACCAGGGACGGGCCTTCTGGTGGGGGAGCACAGACCCAGCTTCGCCCTACACTCCCTGGAGACATCTGCCCACCCTCTCCACGGTCGCAACTCTGCCAAGACCAGGCCCATTGTGGCAGGCAGTCGGTGATAGCTGCCCCGTGAAGCTGGCCTGTTGTCTCCCAAAGCAAGGTGAAGAAATTCTTCCCAGGGCACAGTAACCCAAATATTGAGTGTGAGGTCAAGCCATTTCCGAATGGCGGTGGGGTCGGATCTAAGGAAACTGGCGGGCTTTAATACATTCCCAGGGCTGGGTATATAGCTCAGTGGTAGAGTACTTAGCCAGGATATAGGATGTTCTGGGTGTGAGGAGGAGGAGGGGGGTTGGAGAGACGATCCATTGAGGGGACTCACTGTCTACCTAGGCCACCGTTGTATTCGCACGCCCAAGTCTAGTCTCCATCCCCATCTCCCTCCCTCTGCCATCATTCTTTCTCCTCTTTCCAACTCTCCTCCCCTCATTTGACCAAACCATCCATCAAGTTTTATTTCCATAGGTGAAAATGTTAGCAAATACAACACTACCCTGAAACAGGAAGCCCCTGTGGGCCAGCAGCCCAGCCGGGGTAAGTCACCCCCAAGACTTTCCCAGGACCACTGAAAAGGCAGTTTGGCTTGGTGGACTTCTTCTCCAGTGACATTGCTAGTCTGTGTTTAAGAACAGAAACATTTTCTCTGGAATTTAGTGACACTAATGGATTTTGTTAAAGAAAATAATTTCTGAGCTAGGGATGTTGCCCAGTGATAAGATGCTCTCTATCAGTGTCCAAGGCTCTGGATTCAGTCTCCAGTTCTGGGGCAGGACGTTTCTGGGAGTAATATTTGCCAGTTAAAGACTTTAGCCAGTTTTCTCTTATTACCATTGAGCTGTTTCTAATGCTTTCCATTTTCATTTTTTTTTATTACTTTTACTAAAGTTATTTTATTGTAGTAATTTCTTTTCTTACATAAAATTTGAAACTAGCTTTATATTATGAAGGCGCTTTAATACTATGAAATTGTAAATTTTCTTTCAGAATTATTCTTTTTTTTTAAAGTGGTGTGTGTGTGTTTGTGTGTGTGTGTG